GGCGAGCGTTAACGATGCCGCTACATTCGCTACATTCGCTGTCGTTAATAATAATAATGGCTTTATTTGCGAACCCTTTGTTGCGACTAGGGAGAAAGGAAGTAACGATGTTATGGCAGCGGTCACGCGAGGACAAAAAGGAAAAGGAAGAAGGAAAAACCAAGCTTGAATTAACGAACGCGAGACTTTCCAATCCAAGGAGTTGAAGTACGGTAATGTCTCCCTAACTGACGTTCAGATTGCGCAGAGAAATGGACAATGTGGGAACGGAGATACGATTATTCCGGCTTTGCACCATGTCTTTATAATCGTTGACAATCGGTAACTATAAAAACAAGTCGTGAGGCTCCTCTTCCGAAATTGTCCATTTTCGTGAACAATCTGAGCGTCAATTAGGGAGACATTACCGTGCCCCGTAAAAAGGATGAATCGCGCTAAATCTCGGCGAGAAGAACGAGACTCCGAAGGCCGGCGCTGACTTGACAAATCGAAAAGGCGCAGTCGAGGTTGACGAGCCGCTCGACGCCCGTGAATTACTGCTCAGATGGCGTACGATTACGTGTACGAAACCTGGGTCCGCATCGATTCGCGTTTTTAGCGCGACGGAAAATCGTGGAACGCGTCGACGACTGGACGAGCTCGTCGCGCGTTCAGGGAAGAAGGCGAGAGTAGGCGCGGGCATCAGAAACGAGGACGCTGGGAAACGAGATCTCGTGGGCGGGCGTGAGGAAATCTCCGGAAGTGCTTTTGTTCGGCGTCTAGCGCGTCCCTTTCCGCGGCGTCGAGGTAGAATAGGTATCGAGAGGAGAATGAGATTGCGGAGGACAGAGGATCCTTTTGTGCTCGAGGCGCGCGGCTGTGTGATTAATGGCGGCACAATGGCCGCGTGCCGTGGGATATAATCGTACGCAACGCACGGGCCACGAGGGCCACGGATCGGTTTAACGACGCTATTGCCTGCGCGATCGTCGGGGAGAGAAAAAAAAAAGAAACGAATCGATAGCCAAGAGACGCGCGGCGGCTCGCGCGTGACGCAACGCTCGTAATCTTGTCGAGAGATACCTTGCTGACCGAGCGGCCCGGGGATTATTCCAGTTAAACCGTTCCGCTCGCTGGAAATCCTTCGCTCGCGGATAAACCGGCCGAATGGTGCAACAGCATTCCTCTTTGGTAGCGCAAACAATATGCACCGAACTCGGGAAACGACGACAGATAAGGAGCGCGGCGAGATTGCGTTGCTCGGCCGCCGAGCAGAAGTTTCTTGCTGGCCTAACAAGATCGAATCGAAATGAACGCGCGGCTCGGAAGACGACGACGAGGACGACGACGAAGGATAAGGGACAAAGTGAGATTGCGTTGCAGCGGCTTCAAAAGAACGGGACGAAAGTTGTTAACGCGTCGACGTTAACGCGAAATCCGCCGAGCGTTAAAAACGACGAACGGTGCGTTGCTCCGTAAGAACGATAAGACCGAATTTCTTTAGACTTTTCACGACTTTTATCACGGGTACGGTAATTTCTTCTAGAAATGTTCGAAAGTCGGAGGTGTAACCGGCAGATCCGAGAGTACCGAGCGTCAATTAGGGAGACATATACATATATCTTGTAGCTCCGCGGTTTTTCCTACCTGCCTCACACCCGACAGACCATTTTATATTGTCTTCGGAGAACTCGCGTCGCGTGCCGCATCGCACGCTTGACCGACTCCGTGGACTCTTAGCATCGACGTAGCAACAAATTACAGAGGCGCAAGACTAGCACAGGGAAATTCACAGCAACCCGAAATTTGGCATTTCTAGGAGAAATTACTTAGATGGAGAAATTACTTAGATTGAGAAACTGATTCGATCATTTCCTATGGAAAGAGATAATTTCAATAATTTCAACGATTTCAAAATGAAAATTGCGAGACAGGTCTCATTAGGACCGGCTTCTTACTTAAGCAGTGTGAAACGAAACAAAGAGAACGAGCACCGACCAAAGGGAAGAAGACGGAGAGCGAAAGGTTCGCTGCCAGAGGCTACCAATCCTGGACCACGCAGCCTCGTTATCGACGACGCCGGTACCTCGAAGGAGGACCCGCGCGGAATTTGGAAATCCGAAGATCCGGCAGTCGCGGCGGCGTAACAATGTCTGGCGATCGGGATAAGATAACGGGCGGAATCCGTTTGCAGCTCGCGACGGAACACGGCGGATGGCTGCGATCGTTATCCGCGGTGCCCGGGGGGGAAGCGTTAATTGCGAGACAGGGGTAGAAACAAGCCGGCCGATTCTCTCCTGGGGGAGGCCGGGTCCGGGAGGGGGCCGGGGAACGAGGAAACGGATTACAGCGAGTGCGCGCGAGCCTCCCTTCGTTTCCGGGCTCGGCAACCGGAAAATTGAGATGATTACCTATGAAATGAAGCGGTCCGTCGGCGCGGCATGGCGCCCCGGTATTATGCCCCTCCGAGAACTTTCCTTAATGACCGCGCGAAACGGTCATTAGCGATCGTTGGTTACCCATCCGGCTGTCGGCGGTCCGCGTTCGATCCCGAACGCGGGATTCCGTTCCGTCCAGGAACCCGACGACAACGAGCCCCGGAAACGACCGTTCCCCGGCGGCGTCTTTCTCCGGCAGCCGTCGACGACACCGATTTACACCGGCGACAAAAGAGCGAGGGCCGTTGCGCGGCGAACGCGGTGCAAAAACGTGGAAAAACGTCGCGCGCCGCCGCCGACGGGAATATCGCGAGAAAAACGGGATCGGAGACGGTGAAAAGTCGCTCTCCGCTCGCGGCCGAGCGTCCGCGCCGCTCTCCGCTCGCCGCGCGGCTCGCCCGGTGAACCGTGACGAGCCGCATTCTGCGTGATCTCGACGCGCTTTCGACGACCGGCGAGACGCGACGCGCGTCGCTCCAGCTTCTCTTGTTGCATTGTTCGCCGGCCGCGGCTATTTGCGAGCTCGTAAAGCGGCCGCGGCAGGTTCGAGCGGACGAAACGGCGCGAGACGGTTTCTTTCGCGCGGGGAGGGAGAGGCTGCGTCGCGAAACCTGTTCGATGGTAGCCCGCGAGTCCGTCCCGATTCGAGCTTCCTCCCCGAGAGATTTATGCGCGAACTTCGCCGACGCCGGCCGCGACACGCGCGCGGAACGCGTTAACGAGTCCCGGCTATTTTACCGCGAAAGTTCGCGCGTTAATTGCTCGCGGCGGAGTCCTTTGAAAAATCGCGAGCCGAAAGAATCGCAGGATTCAGCGCTGGCCTCCGTTTTCAATTCTCGAGACTTGTCTTGTCTCTGCGGTAACGGTGCCGGGCTCGAGCGCGGCCATGATCAATCGCTGCGCTCGGTTCATTCGTTCTCCGGCATAATTAACTTCGCTGTTGAGAATAAAGTACGTCTTAACGTGTCAACGAAAGTCAACCCTTTGCACTCGAAGCTGTTTCAACCGTAGATCTATAATAATCTTTCTGATTTATAGTATTTTCATTTTATACGACAAAATGTATTTTATGCGTACGAAGTTGAGTTTTGCGACTCGCAGAACGGTTACACTTCCAACAATTTTATATATATATATATAACAAGTTTATATAATAAATTTTAACGGTGCCTCTTCTAACATCTTTATTGTTTCATTTCCCATCCGTAATCGTAATCGTAAAAAACTGCATAAAATCATGCGACACGCGGCGTCGTTCCTTGCAGCCGCCGCAGATTTAGTTTCAACGCCGTTGGATTTACCTCGGAAACGTCGAGTCCGCGGAAGGCTGAATTTTGTCGCGCACCGCTGGGACGGGATTTTATTCCTAGAATAGTTCGGAGCGGACACGGCGCGGCGGCGGCGGCCGATCGCAGGAAGCGGAAGCGAGCGCGCGACACCGTCGAGCCGGAAGCGACGGTTAACCGACCGTCAAGCCCTTCCCATTCTTCGCGTATGAAAAATGATGGGGCGTATTGCCGGAGCGCGGCTAACAGTGGACCAAACACGGGGCCCGTTCGTTCGTTTCACCTTCGAAAATATTGTGGGGGAGCATCGGCTCGGAACGGCGCGGCGCTGCGCGGCGACAGAAAGGCGGCAGAAACGCGACAGAGAAGCGACAGAAAGGCGTGGCACTCTGTTTTCCGTCGGTTCTCTTCTCTCTCTCTCTTTCTCTCTCTCTCTTTACGGCCGGCGCAGTAACACGCGATACTCCTGCTGCGGTTTTTTTCCGCTCGACACACGCGCGAAACCGAGGCACGGCGATTTCGTCGGAGCGCTCGCGCGCACAACCTGTGGTTTTCGTTTCGATCGTAAAACACGCGGTCGGAGGAGCCGCGACTGAGTTATTCGACAAGCGACCCGGACGTGTTCACCGTTTCTAATAGCGCGGAGAGTCTGCGCCGGGCTTTACGGCCGGGCTTGCAATTAGTCACGGCCAGAAAAACGCGAGGCGATCTGTCCAACGATTTGCAAATAGAGCCGAAGCGCCGCGCGCTCGGCATTCTTTGAATTTTCTGCGGATCGGCTTCCCGGACGAGACGCGAAGCATTCCGAAAGCTCGACCGTGAAGCGAACTCGAAGATTAACCCTTTGCCGCGTCCATTTGAAGGACCACCGCTTGGACGCGATCGACGCGTGTTCGCGAATGAATATTTCAATTCACCGAGTCCCAGAGGAATTCTATCTACCGAGGAAGAATCTTTTCATCCGATTTTCCTGATCGATCTTTGCACGAGATAATCGATCAGGTTGTTGCAAAAGCACATACACACACACACACAACCTCGGTTTTTCAAATTAGCTTACAAAAAGCCGGAATTGCTTTTGCAACAATTAAGTGCTAACAACAGTGCAATGTATCAATTGTTATTGTTTTATCTATTTATATTGTACAATAGGGCTCGTACAATATATGAATAAATAAAATAAATAAATAAATGCAATAAGAGCGTTTTCGAGAATTTGGACCGGCAGCAGACATTTAAATCCGAACCGTATTGGAGTGTTAGGCAAAGGGTTACATTTGATCGGGCAAACAATTACCTTGAGGTAGGACCCGTAATACTTGGTGACGTAGGGGCTGTCGCACTGCGACAGCACCATGATCTCCTGCTGTATGTCTTCGATCTCATCTTCCGCCTCCTCTAGATCGATGATCTTGATGGCAACCACTTGCTGGGTCCTGTTGTCGATCCCCTTGAACACCTCGCCGAAGCTACCCTTCCCGATCCGTTCTTGTTTCGTGAATATCAGCTCGGGGTCCACCTTCTGTAACAGGGAACAAAGTTGTCTCGTTTAGACGTGTCGCCGTCGACGAAGTTAACGGCGAGCGATGGCGAGCGACGTCGATGTCGGCGACGAAGTCGATGGCGCGAGAAAGAGAGAGAGAGAGCAAGACATAGATAGATAGAGAGTGAGAGAGCAAGAGAGACAGAGCAAAAGAGTGAGAGAGAGCAAGAGAGACAGAGCAAAAGAGTGAGAGAGAGCAAGAGAGACAGAGCAAAAGAGAGCAAAAGAGAGAAAGAGAGTAAAAGAGAGAGAGAGAGAGAGAGAGCAAAAGAGAGAGAAAGAGAGAGACCAGCCCTGCCAGGCTTTCATCGAGATTTGCGAAGCCGACACGGGTTTCTGGCGACTCTCGCGGTCGCCGCAACAGCGAAAGTTTCCGCGGACTTTAACGGCGGGCCGAGTTCGCGATTTCGGTAGTTTTAACAAATTCTCGCGACGGCTCGGCCCGCGCGGGTACACCCGGCTTTTGGCAAACTTCGCGGACAGCCGAGAAAGCCGGGGTCGGGCTCTCTCGGCGAAGTAGAAGACGCATATTCCCCGACGGACCTCGTCTACGCTCGCCGGGGAACGTGTAACGAGAAACGGTACACGTGTCTTTGCTGGCGAAATCTGGCAGCTGCCGCTGTCGCCGCTGGCAAAGTTTTTGATCGGTCAGCGGGAAGTTGACCGAGAGCAATTATATATCTTCGAGGTACAAGGTGCACTTGGAGGACGGATTTTACGGGAATAGTCGAGGGTTATTTTAGCTCCTGCTTGGTCAATCTCTGCCTAAATCGGTTGGATCGGAATCGAAAAAGTTGATAACAGTGGACGGGACGAATCCTTTATTGTACGATACAAAATTATGGCGACCATAATCGGGACCATCGTCCGCACGCGAGGAGAACTTACGATATAAGAAGACTTCGGCGATGTCATTGACCCCCTGACACCCCATTAGAAATTTTTCGATCGCAATAATTTCTTAGAAGGGAAAGAGAATTGATGCTTATTGCGTGCCTAAATTTACTCGAATGCTTAAATATCGATGACAGGAGATTAGAATTTTATTCCAATTTTACAGGACAGAATAAATTATTCCTAGACATTTTTATGACGAGTCGGACTCGTCGAGATATGCCAAGGGGTTGATGTACAAAATAGAAGAATGTATCGAATAGAAAATCTCTGTTTCTATCATCCTTTACGTTGTTCTCTCGCTTATGCCAAAGGGCTTTCCCCGTTGATGAATCAGAGATCGAATCAACTTCCATTCTCGGACATTCGAATTCTCGCTCGAATCCCATTCGCATCTCCGCGTTGCGGCTCGCCGATTCAAATGGAGCGGCGCAACTCTTATTAGAGTCGCCGGGCCGACGATGAATTCACGCGACCCGGAAAACCGGAGGTTTCGGGCCCGGCCGCGGATGAATATTCAGGATCCAGCCGTCGACGTACACGCCGCGGAGCGGCTGGCGAGCCGGAGCCTGGCTCGACAGCGAAATTAAAGCGCGGAAAATATATCCCCGGCTAGGCTTAACGGCTTTTCGAAACAGAGGAACAACGGCGCGCGTTGTCGCTCGAGTGCGCCCCGTTTCCCGCGCTCCGGAAAATTCTACGCACGCAGCGTGTGGAGCGACCGCCGAGCGTCGGAGGAACGCGCGGGATTTCAAGGAAAATGATCTTCGCCCGCCGCCGGATTAAACATCGCAATTAACGCGGCCGCTGCGCCGCGGTCGTCGCTGCTCGACGGGAATTTTCCATTCGGCGACGTGCGAAAGCGCGTCGCATTTTCCGGATTTCGATATTTATCCGCGAGAGGCCGGAGAACGGAGAGATGGCTTTTTTCTTCTTCTCGCGGAGCAATTAGAAAGGTGTCGCGATCCCGCTCGTTAATGCTCGCCTCGCGGACGTTAGTAGACCGAGAAGCCGGGACTTATTTTCCTAGGTAAATACGGGCCGCGTGCTCTCGATCATTTCCATTCATTTCACAGCGCGGCGAGCACGCGATTTTCGCGACGCACGCCGATCGTTTCGTTGTCTGTGGGAAATTTAGAGAAAACAATTTATATCGATGAACTGTGATCGGTCGCTTCGGTTCCCTCGGCCTTTAAGCGCCCAAGGATCCGGCTAGAATCGAAGAGTAGAAAGTTCTTTTTTCCTTCTTCGTGTTTGCTTGTATCGCGACATCGTGGCGTTACAGTGCTCCAAGCCGTAAATGTTGTACTCGAAAAAATTCGATTTCGTGCCTCCGAAAAAAATGAAAATGACCAACGCACCGCAACGCGATCCGTCTCGACGCTTCGCCTGGCATCGACGGAACAAGGTGCTGGCACCCCCCGCTCGGCCCCTCGAATGCCATTTAAACTTTAATTTCAGCTCCCTGTTCGCGCGACGAATTACTCTCGCGGCGAACGAGGTCGAACGGCACATGGCGCTAACGCACGCGGCTCGTTGAACTACTTTCGAATTTTGAAGCTCGTCGCGGCTCCCCACTCGCCCTCGACCATCTTTCTCAAGGCGACACCGACCCTCCCCACGATCGTCGATTGAATTTTTATGGAAATACGAGCGCTGTAACGGCGCGCCAGCGCCCACGTGGACTTCTCGACGATCGTCTAACGAGCCCGTTAGAAAATCGTGTCGGTCCACTTCCACGTTTCCCGGTGTCGACGCCAATTTTTCCGATGATTTCGCGGATTTCCCGAGCCGTCAAGAAAACCGACGTTGCAATCTCGTGCGTGAAACTGCAGCACGATGCGATTCACCGGATTGCGTAGACTATGTTCAGGCTTAACCTTGACATACGCAGAAGCACGATCCAGATCCGAGCGTCGCTTTCGGCGTGTAGAGACACCACAACATTAAGTTGCAGTTGCATAGCAGATACATAGGAGACAGACTTAAGAATAATAATACAAAACTATAATAAACTGTTAATTTTAGCGATATTTTTAGCACAAGTAATCATAACATTTACAAAAAATCGATATACATTGACAACCCAAACTATCCGGAAATCCATCCTACTAGTCTCAGTAACTGGTCCAAAATTTTGCTATCGACCTAGGGGGGTCCAGTTACTGAGACTAGTGGAATTCATTTTTCAGATTTTTGAGATATGTCTGGAAATCCATCCCACTAGTCTCAGTAACTGGTCCACTTAGGTCGATAGCAAAATTTTGGACCAGTTACGGAGACTAGTAGAATTCATTTTCGGGATTTTTGTGATCTGTCCTGAAATCCATCCTACTAGTCTCAGTAACTGGTCCACTTAGGTCGATAGCAAAATTTTGGACCAGTTACGGAGACTAGTAGAATTCATTTTCGGGATTTTTGTGATCTGTCCTGAAATCCATCCTACTAGTCTCAGTAACTGGTCCCCCTAAGTCGATAGCAAAATTTTTGACCAGTTACTGAGACTAGTGGAATTCATTTTTCGGATTTTTCAGATATGTCTGGAAATCCATCCACTAGTCTCAGTAACTGGTCCACCCTAGGTCCATAGCAAAATTTCGCGAGGTGACCGAACCAATGAGCGAAAGCGGGCTTCTTTCGCTCGTTGATCCGTACAATGAAAGATGCACGATCGATGCGATGGTAGATCGAATCAAAGGCAAAAGTTTCTTCGTCTATAAAACTTTCGACCGTCGGAGGGTTAGAGATTATTTTCTTGGAAACGGTGGCACTGCGATTAAGTTTGCTCGCGATAGAAAAAGCGGTATCGACGCGTTATTATTAAGACAAGTGGAATCGGCCGGTAATAGACAGACAAACGTCGAAGCCGGCGTGCAGGTTCCGGCACGAGGAGAGCGCGTCTATTTACGGAACTGGGGGAGATTTATCGCGGTTTTACCGATACACCGGCGAAAAATCGATCGCCGGTCCGAGCAAGGACGCGATTAAAAATACCGTGGCTCGTGCCCCGTGGCACGTTCTCCTGCCGTCTGGCCGGGCACGGTGTCCCGATCTCCTTCTGCCGTCACTTTCTCCGGCGAAGTTAAAGGTCACTGGTCTCTCTCTCTCTCTCTCTTTTTCTCTCTCTCTCCCTCCGCGAGTTTTCATCGGGCTCGACTTTATTATTACGTCTTGTTTCACGGGTCGACGGTCGCGCAACGCTTTGTGAAAACGGCGCCGAACCCGACGCGACCCGCCTTTTTTCCCCCGACTTTCGCCTCGCGCGCCGGTCAAACCGCTGCCAGAAAATAGTTTCGCTCCGTGCCCGGCTCTAGCACGTGAAATATTCAATCTCCCTCCGTTCCCCTTCGTCGCGTTTATTCCGTCCAGTTTGTAACGCGCGCGCTCGTTGACCAAGTTCCGTCGAAATCGAAGAGCTTTTCACAGAAACGATGACAGATACGATGATTCTATTCTTTATTCGAAGATGAAATGTTGCAGAATAAAGGAAAAATAGAGAGAAAAATAGATTCTCCGATCTTGAAAGTTTACGTCGAACTTGAAACGTTTCAACAGAATTTGATTTCTTTCTCTCCTTCCTTCTTTATTTATCTATTCGGTGATTTCAACGAGAAAATCCTTTGTTACGCAAGGAAAACAAAGTGATATTTTCGAAGAATTAGCTGACTAAGATTACGAGTTAGAATAAAAAAATGAACGCGCAGAGCCGATTGATAAAATAACAAAGAATGTGCTGGACGATCGCGAGAAAGGCTTAATCCGTGCATTATCGGGCCCGTTATCGATCGCGTTCCCAGCATTTTTCAGGATCGTCGGTTGTTCGTCGATCGAACACGATATCGTCGGGATCGCCGAGCTTTTTCCACCCGATAAGATATTCGAAGATCGTTCCCCTCGGCTGCGAGAACTCGGCGGAGCCGCGGAACCGTCGAAATCGTCGAAATGCGTCTGATTTCCAGGCGAACGCCTGCCCGACACCCCCGCATCTGGGATCCGGTTACACATTGTAATCCCGTGGCGCCGTAGATTTTGTTTGCTCGTTCTATTATTGCCGCTGTTGACACTGCTGATTTGACCCTAGAACA